GCATCAAGAGAAAAAGGTCATGAAGTACTCAGTGAATATGCCCCAGAAGTGGCCAACTTCCTCCGAGAATCTCTTCCACCATCCTCCTATCCAGGTGTTAAATTCAGCACTGGCTATTTAAGTGCTTGCAAAAGACATGTACATCTCTTATTTGGAGATAAGGGAACATGATAAGGTTCTGTGGGCTTTTGGTTTGAACTCTCATTTTCCCTTTCTCCAAATTTATGTACATTTAGCTTCATCTGAAATAGGTCTGTGGATATGATTTAACAGATATATTTTCTTCTGTTGTTTTATTAATACTAAACACAAGGCATATTAGCCTATACTATCTGGCCAAAAAAAATTAAAAGAGGTTAATTTTAAAGGAAATCAGAAAGTGGCAAACAAAATTCGACAAAAACGGAAAGTTTCACTCACAGAGTAATACTACATTCATCATCAAATTGCTAAGAATTACTAGAAATAAACACATTATCAGTCAGCAGGATGCCAAATACTAGGAAAAAACAGGAGCTAACAGGGTTTCTGTACATTTCTAAGGTTGCATCAAAGTTTTATGATGGAATCTAACAGCCTTACAGTGCCAATGCCAATGATGTGTGCTAAATCACACAAGATTAGCAAAAGGAGAAAAATGCAGTGAATGCAAAATTATTTTTATTGTAAATGAACTCTGAAGGGACTAACTTTAATTAGCTAGCTGTATACAGTTCCGTAAAACTAGTGTCACTGCCATAGGGAAGTCTAAAGACGAAGCAACAGTTTGTGGATTTGGATGTCTGGAAACTTCATCTGGAGAGGAAAACGTGAAATTATTACTCTACAGAAAAAGAACCACATTGATTATTTTTGAACTCTTGGTTTAACAATGTTCAAGAAGAAAAAAAAAAAGAAATGAAAGGAAGCTGGCAGTTAAAACAAACTGAAGCATTGTGGTAGTAGTTCTTAAATGGAAGATGGACTGGAATCACCTGGAGACGCGTTTCTAACCTACTCTCCACTGTCCTGGTAAGGCAGATCTGTGGGAGTGGGATGGAGGTTTAGATACCTCCTCAGATGATTCTAGGTAAGACTCTAAATTGAGAAATAGTAATCGGAAAAAGAGCAATGAATTAGAGGCACAGTCCCTTTTGTCAATTCCTACTAAAATGTAGTAATGGCCTCATTCAATTACCCCATTTCATTTCCATGATCTATGCTACCTGGTTGCTCATAGTTAATCAATTACTTATTTTTAATTCCTATTGACTTGTCTCTCTTAAACATATCTAGAATCTGCCTACCTGTTCTTCTCCAATATCTCCACCTTAGTCCAGGCAACCATCATCTCTCTCATAGAAGCTCTAATAACCAGTCTCCCTGCATCAGCATGTGCCCTGTGTGCACCCCCACCCCAGAGAGAAAGTTCAGAATAGAAAATCTGGTCAAGTCACTATTTTGCTTAAAACTCCCCATGGGTTCATATTCCTGGACTGAAGATCATGACCTCTGAGGTTCTGCATGATCTGGCTCTGGCCTCCCTTACCAGCCTTCTCTTATTCTTCTCTAAGCCATCAGCCTTCTCTCAGTTCCTTGCACTTGCCAAGTTCCTTACTGCCTTGCACAGTCTTTGCACCTGCTGTCTCTTCTGCCTGGTACACTCTTCTCCCCATTTCAGAGCTCAGTTCAAACATCTTATCCTCAGGGTAGTCTTCTCCAAAGATGGGAAAGACTTCTACCCATCATCCCAATGTCATCTCTTACTATAGGCTTTATTGATTAAAACAATGACTATAATATTTATTGAGTGCTTATTATGTGCCAAGCACTGTTTTATGTGCTTTGCATACATTAATTCATTTTTACTACAATCCTGAGAGTGGGTGCTCCATAAATATTTTTAACTGCATGCATGCATGCATGAATGAATGAGATGAGATGAAAACCCTAGGGCAAGGGTACCTTGAAATTCTACAACTGTAAACTTTAAGAAATATCTGTTTACTTTGAAAGGTTTTAGGGTAGTAATTTACATATACTAAGATCACATTTCTAAATAATAAAATGTCAAGGATTTGAGGGAAGCGTTACCTAGGAAAGGTTTGAATCCTCAAAGCTTGGATAGCTTTCATAAGAAAATATGTTTAATTGGATACAAAAGGGATAGTACATTAGTAATTTGAGAACGTGGGGCTGAAAGTGATATTAGGAGTATGAGTGTGTATATTCTTACACAGATATATGATTCAGATGATACCCACACTAGAGTTATTTCTCCTAGCCACAGTTGGTACCTTGTGACAGCTTTTATTCAGGTGGCTGCACATTTTCTATAGCAACTTTTATCCATCCTTATCTTTGTCCAATTTTATCTGCTAAAAAGAGCAGATCTGAAAGACGTTCTTTCATAAATTCAGTTCATAAAAATCTAACCAGGCCTTGGAATAAAACATCATCAATTAAAAAATTAAAATATTCTAAAAAGGGGAAGTTCTCACTGAAAATTATTTAGGGTAGTCAATCTCTTGGGTTCAAAGTCTTTTGTGACCCCAACCTACAGTATTTTGGGCCCTAATCTACAATAGTGCCTGCTATACAATCAATACTTACCGAATTAAAATAAAGAACCATTGTTCTTGAACCATTCACTTTCTCAAATCTTCTCCGCTACTCTAGTCAGAATGGATTACATATTCATCACTTTAGTCTAAAGATTTCTGTAAGTGGAAGTGCTGAGTCAATGGGCAAAGGAATTGAACTTTTATTGGGCAGAACTACATTACTTTCCAAAATGGAGAAAAATTTACACTCCTAACAATAGTATACAATGTTCTTAAGATAGATATTAAACCAACTCCCTTTTTAAATGTTGTATTTGCTCAATTTTCCTATATGGATCATTCCATGGGGAAAGCATATCACCTCCATTTACAGTACGAACATTACTCATTTTAAGGTACTATAAACAGGACTTTTGCATGCTTATCTTAATGGAAGAGGAAACGTGCATGGATAGTTTTAACAAGAAAAATAGCAAGGGGACTGCAGGCGTATTTTATAAAATTACTCAGACTACAAATACTTACCGTCAAATTCCCACAAAGCCTAATATGTTACTTGAAAGAAGGCACACAATAAATAATTGTTTTGCATACTTATTGACTTGCAAAGGACATCTAAAATTTGGTTCTCTTTTCAAAAATTGCTGCCCATTTTTTTTGATAAAAATACAATTAGACTGTACCACTTCTCTCATTCCATTACAATTTTATATTGAAATATTAGGTAGGTGATAATAACTTAGAAGGATCAGGAGGATTAATAGATTGATGATCATAAATGGCTGTGCAATGAGCTACACTAGGGCAATAAATATTTTAATTTAAACTTTAAAAGTCAATGTCAGGAAGATTATTTCATTATGTGAATCATTAAAAACTTAGTCATACCTTTCCAGTGTCAAAAGTTCAAAAAAATTTTTTTTTCATACTCTCTGGCTGACTTTCTGCCTTTAGCTGACCCAATACTATATCAGTCTTATTCTGAATCTAAACTGTTAAGTCAGACATCAGATCTAGAGAGTATTCTATATTGCTCAAAGAGCAATTTTTTAAATAAGTTTTTAGAGGTAACTGTTAAAAACATTTTACTTAAAATATCCATCAAGAAAAACAAAAGTAGAGCACGCATAATTCTGGCAATGGCCCTACCATCTTTCTAGCAGTTGAGGTGGGATGTCCAAAGAAAGTAAAGATCATTCCATCCAGAAATAGTCTAAGCTAAGGTTAACTTCTTTTATTAAGATATATTTAAGTATTCTTTAAAACAAGATAAAGACTATAAAAAAATCAGTAGGCCAATAAATAAATAAAATAAATAAATCTTATTCATTAGCAAGAGAAAGGAGGAGCTATAACTGCTCATTTCCAATGGCAAGTGGATATCACAATTTGGGGCCGGAAAGGCATCATAATACATATCTTCCTCATTGTTGTAATGAGAAGCCACCATAAATCAAGCTCAATAAGAAGCTCCAAGTAGAATTTAGTTTATCAATGTAATGTTTTAATTTCATATAGAAGTATCTGACTAAAAATTAATAAACCATTTACCTATTAATAAATTAATAACATCATTTACCCACTGATTTCAGACTTGTGTCCATCTAATTGATGCTGGAAGAATATAATTTTTTGTTTTTAAAGCTAGGTTTTGTTCTGTCCATATGTTTTAAGAGGGTTTCTAGCCTTTTCAACCACTAAAATGAAGTAAGAAACTTGGAAACTGCTACCAAATATATGAACTGATCTGTTCAGTCATGAAATCTTTAACTAATTCCTTTCTGCATTCTCCAGTCCATCTGTCTTCCCATTCATCCATGTCTCCATCCACCTCTCACACGGTGTGTATGGCATTACACTGAACAAGCTCTTAAACTTGCAGCTGGCCCCTAGAACACATTTTACTCTCTTCTACCACCTCTTTCTACTTTCTTATCCTCTGAAGAACCCTAGTGGTGAGAAGAAACTTTCTTTTCTGCTTAAACGAATGAAGAGATACCTATGGAACTCAGAGAAGATCAATTAATAGAATTATTAATTAATTAATAGAATATCCAGATGATAATCAACTATATCAGACATGTACTTCATGAAAAAGTTTACTTACTGATTAAAGTCATTTATTTCACCTGGAATGCAGCTGTCACTGAGTTATATATGATCTAAAATAGTTTTACAGCCATTTCTGCTTAGATTCCGTAATAATCCCTACTTTTAATTTCCAGAGAAACATGACCAAAACTGTGTCGAACAACTCATTTGTCCTTGAGCACTTTCACCCCCATGTCTTTGCACATACTGTTCCTCTTCCTGGTAGTCCCTCTCTACCACCTTTCCCACTTTCTTACCTCCCTTCATAAACAAGCTCCTACTCATCTCTCAAATTGTAGAAAAGTTAAAAGCAAATAAAAAAGTTACTGGAGTTAGGTTACGAAGGAGATCATAATGAAATCTCACCTGTATCTTGTGCAAGTAGCATTCTGACCTGACGGAGCTATCGGTTTAAAAGTGATGGGTGGGGAAACCTGGGCTGATAGCAGAAATCCCAAAGCAAGAATAATGAGTGCTACGGTGGTACCTAAAACAAACAAACAAAAGTTTTACATCAGAGAATAGTTGACAACATTCTTCCAAAGCAGACTGGGTTTGGCAAGACAAATCTCTGAAAAATACCTTGATCTATCTTTATTGGATTAAAAAATGCTCCCAATATATATACACAAATTATCAGAAAAACTCACTAACACATTCACTGTGAGTCACGACAAGAGTGAGATTCAAAACAAATACACTTGCTAGCCAAGCAGTAGATTGGTAATGATTTCCTAAAAACAAAAAAACAAACCGCCTTGCATTGCTGACGATCTCAAAATCAATTAATGTAACCAACGTTATTGAGTGCCTAATATGTCAGGAGGTACAGAAGGCAACAGATTTACACCAAGTGTTCCTTTCATTGCTAAGAAAATTGTTCTAATGGCATTTCATCATGTAAGACCCAAATCAGTAAACTAAAAAGTGACAAACTAAATATTTCAAAAGGAGTTGAAAGAGCATTTCTTACTAAAGAGTAGCATTTTCTTTTTGAAGACTTTAAGATGCCAGAAATGATATAACATTGTACAATCATGCTCCGCATAATGCGAATGACATTTTGGTCAATGACACACCATACATAAGTCAGTGGTCCCATAAGATTAGTACCATACAGCCTAGATGTGTAGTTGGGTTGGGACTGGGGTCAGGGTCAGGAACAGGGTTAGAGTTTGTGTAAGAATACTTTATGATGATTGCACAATGACAAAATCACCTAACAACACTTTTCTCAGAACGTATCCCTGTTGCGAAGTGATGTGTGACTGGGTTCGTCTTTCCTGTTAGTACTTGGAAGAGGAATTTTTGTCTTTGATCTTAGGGTATAGGAATAGTGATTATATATATTGCTGAAAAAGTTCATTTTTGAGTCCCTGAGAAACATCCTGATGGTAAATAACAAAGTTTTCAAATTTCTGACTATTGTTCCAGCCATTGTGAGGATAAACAAAAAGGGTCATGGGAAGAATGGACAAGGAAAATATGGCTGCGTTAATTTGTACAAGGTATTTGAAGGGGGCAGTATATTTAAAACATGGAATATAAGGAGGTCATTTATGTACTGTAAAGTTATTAAACTGGGAGGTAATTTAAGATATAACCAAAAATACTACTAAAAGAATGGATAAGAGAAGAACTGTGGGAAGCACTGGGGAAGTGCAATGGATCCTGTAACAGTCGAGGTGGTGCTGCTTAGGCTATAGGGGACGTGTCAAGATAAGCACAGTGGCTAAGTTCTAGCTTTGCTGTTTCTTGACTCTGCTCTTGGGCAAGGCACACAACATTTCCAAAATTCAGTTTTGTCTTCTATAAAATGGGGCTTTGTGAAAATATTCACCTGGCAGAATTGTAGTGAATTTTAAATATCATAATGTATCTGAAAGATTTTTGTAATGCTAGAAAATATTAGTTATTGAACTATCATTATCATTAGTAGCAGCATACTTTCAATATTGTAGAAAAAAGTTCAAGGAAGGGGAGGCTTGAAGGGAAAATCAGAAGTTTATTTTGCCGTACTGGGTCAAAAAAGCCATGAACCTAAAATCACTGTTTGTTTTCCCCTTGTTGGCTTAAAATTCAAACCAGAAATAGCAATAGTTTGAGGCATTACTTTTATCAAAGGATTATCAAGCCCTTAATTGGGAAACAGAAAAGAGGTCTGTCTCTCAGGAAGAGAGGAGATATATTAGGTCTGTTATGAAAACCATCCCTCTCTCCTCAAACACAACAAAACATGAATTTTACTGTTAATCTGTCTATCAAAGAACCTGAATCTCTAAGGATTTTCCCGAATTACTTCCACAGCATATTGTCATGGGACAGAGAAGACTTTTTTCAACCAGGAAACCTTGATACTTTAAGAAGTGAAGGAAAGATGATACTCTTCCTTCATAACACTTATTAAATAACCTGTCTCCATGATAAAATATAAACTCTAAGATGGTATATCTAGCACATACATATGTCCAATCCTAATGCCTGGCATACAGCAGATCCCAATAAGTACCGGTTGAATGGATGAATCATAGTACCACAGATTTTTGCAATATCAGCTATTTTTGAAGAAAACAAAACAAAACAATAGTCCTAAGTCTTAAGACTATGCAGTTGAGGTCAAGGGGTTGTGTGGTACACATACCCTAGCTGAGAGTTCTGCAGTACGGGCAATAGGACCCTTGCATCCACATCTAGAAACGTCCAACCCACCTGCAAAATATGGGGAATGGACCATTCTGGATACACAAAATTCCTAAAGAGCTGAAGGTTTACCCTTCTTAAGCACAAATTTATTTTTATTTTAACACATTTTTTTTTGAAATCTGTTAAAAATCACTATTTATACCCTGACCTTCTTTATTACATCTAGCAGTGTTTCTCCATCCCGGCTTCCTACGGGAAGCAAATGCTTGGGATGGACCTCAACCTCTGAATCAGAGTCTCTGGGGATCAGATATCTGAGTTTTAAACAGCTGCACAGGTGATTATGATGAGCAGACAGGGTCAAAACCCTTATGAGATGATAAATTTCTTAAGAGAAGGCAAAGGTATCTTACATGACTTTATGAAATAAATTTTAAAAGATCACTTAGTTCTGTCACACACTCACATACCTTTAAAACTTAAAACTACTTGAATTACCTATCTCCTTTCATTTAACAAGTTACAGATATTTTATCAGTCACTTGTTATTATTCAAAATAATTGTAGTTACTGTCAGATGAATCATGACTGCCACCTAGATTCGAGTCCAATACAACAAGACCTTGGACGAAAGGAGCTCCTCCAGTGTCCTGGGCAGTTTTCGCACATTCTTTATATTTCAAGAAAAGGGTCTCTCTTAACCAAGTATACTGTTACATTTTGGAATTCTGATATAATTTCCCTAACAAAGATGTTCTCCACAGGAAGTGAAGTGTGTTGGATAAGTGGCATTCTCAAAAATGTCTGATGTAATGTTACATTAACTACCTGGTGCAGGGGTTAGATTATTATTAAATACTCAGAAAAAACTAATTTCCCTTCCCATGACCCTAACAGAGCACACTATATGTGTGAAAATATCACCTGGGGAACATGCTTACAGTGCATTTGCTTCAGAACCTACCTTCAGAGATTCTAATTTAGCAGATCTGGGGTAGAGCCCAAGAATCCACATTTAAAAATAAATACCTCATGGTAATTCTGATGGAGACAGCTTGTGAGTGATGTTTTCTGAAATATTTCACTACCAAAATAACTGGGGGAAAATAACCCCGCGTTTCAGGCTTTCTGATTTATAAACAATAAAGCTACATAGATATAAACTTTCTTCTATTAAAAGAATCAAGAGGTTGTCATTAAATTTGCAATATTTACAGGAAAGACCAGTTCTCTGAACAAGCTTTGAAAATATTAAAAGTCAGAATACCACAAAATGTCCTACATTTAAAATTATTCAGGGACTATATAGTTTATATTTCTTTGTATAAAGAGTTTCTTTGTCTGGGTCTAGCTAAATACAATTTATTTGTAGTAATTTTTAAAGAATGAATACCTATTCAAAAAATTATGTTGATATGTTTTCCCACTGTTTTTAACCCAATGTAAGAAAATAAATCCTAATAAAAAGAGAAAATAGGGAATAAAACTGAATGAAAAGTTTAAAAATTCTAGGCTAATTTAAAAAATTTTAAATAGAACAGCGTTCTAATACTTAGCACTATTAGGCTATCAAATATATACCTACACACAAAGGAATAAAACAAAAACATTCAAATAAAAATGACTAATCCAGAATTAATTGGTATCGGAAAGCGAAATAAACATCTTCTGCGTGGGTCACATTGGAGTAATACTAATACACTAAACAAGGTTCTTTAAGAGTAAGTTTTCTTCTGTAGGTGGTCAGTATGTTCTATTTAATCAGTTAAAAACCAGAACTACAGAAAGAGGACTATTTATATCCATATGTACAAGGAAAAGAGGAGAGCTGTATCAAGAAAACCAGGCCTTCTACCTCCTAAACCACTGTAATATCTACATCATCCCTTTAATTGGCCACATGACAAGGAGATCAGATGCCCCCTTGACGGAAGGTCTCTCTTAAGAGAGAGGCCTCACTGCATGATATTGGTAGTGGATGGAGCTAGGGTGTTGGTAGTTTTGGCTGAAAAGAGAACAAGGCAGAAAACAAAAGTGCCTATAGGTTGCTCATAAGAAGCAGTCTCTGAAATCTCTTGGTCTTTACCCCCAAATAATTGTCTTAACACTTCCTCTTAATAGTCAGGGATGGGCTCTGGAAATCCTTGGGGCAGAGGACCTACACTGAGAGGTGAAACAAGACATCAGCTAGAAGAGTTCAGGAACGTTCCTGGATTCTCATGATGCAAAGTGATTTCACATTATGGCTAAAACAACAAAGAATCACTCTCTGGCAGTAATAACGTTGTGACAGCTAAAATGCTCTGGGCACTCTTACTATCTGTGTCAGGCAGTGTTTTAAATGCTATACACGCATAAATGTATTTAGCCCTCATTACAACTGTGTGAAGAAGGGACTATAATTAATTCCTGTTTATGGATGAGGGAGTGGAACCTTGCTCAAAGTCACACAATTCAACCCAAACAGTCTGGCTCTATCTAGAATGCCTCAAAATCCTGCTGAACTGATCAGAAAGTGTCTCATTGGAATACAACAAATGAAGGGACAGAGGCTGCTACAAAAATGTTTTCCCCAGATCTCAAAATCAGCAGTTTCCCTAGATCTTAAAAGCCAAATCTCAAATTCAAGAAGACTTGAAATTCTATTTAAAAAACAGACCTTTGAAGTAGCAATATACTGAGGCCCTGCCGCAAAGGAAGGGTATCCACTTAAAAATTTTTAAAGCGGCTATTACCTCTTCTTAGAGTTGACCTAAACCTCAGGGGTCAGGTCTGACCAACTGGAGGAACTTATTTTTAGCATATCACTACCTGAAGGCCATCTATCTTTTTTTTCCAGAGTTTACCATCCTAATAAAACAGCACAATTCATGGTTGGAGAGCTCTATTAGGAATATTTTTCTTATATTAAGTAAAAATCTATGTCCTCCTAACATTTACCATCTGCCAGAGTAAGATATCTATTAGGTGTCTACTGAGTCTTTTTTTCCAGGCTAAACACTTCTGGTTCCTTCAACAGGTTTATAAACGTGTGGTCTTTAAACTTTTGCTTGCTCCTCACCTTTCCTCTCTTACCCTCCAGTCTCCCTATAAATCTTGGCTGTTGGAATTACCTTTGACTCTTAATCAGACAATCTTCCCCTCCCTTTGCCCTCAGTGTGGACACTGCAGTTCAGCTTACCTTTGGTACTCAAGGGCTTCCGCTGCCTAGGCAAGAACAGAGTATTGGTACAGAGGGAAGGGTGGGAGAAAGTACACGTTCTTAAGAACTGAGTATGAAACTCAGAATGTATTTTCTCATCAAAATCTGGGACAAGTGCCTGAAGTAGTTCTATTAGATCAATGTTTTAGGTATAATTTGGTTAAAACAGAATTTAGTTAATGCCAGCCTGGAAACTTTACATTTTAATGGAAAAACATATTCTTACTCTAAATAAACTTATAAAGGAGCCATTAGAAGACAGCTAATTGATAAGTAGGAATCTGCTTGTATATTTGAAATAAATTAGAAAATTATATGATGTAATCATGTGAAGACAATGGCAAAGATGGGTCTCATTTTGTCAAGTGAAAGAGCCCTTGTGTTACAGGGAAATAATAAAAAGAAATGGGCAGCACTTAAAGACAAAAGATACTTGAAAGTGAGAAAAGTTTTATCTTATTTAGCTATCATAGGAAATATAAACAATCAGAATTTACCCTAGAATTAAGGCCTGGTTCAAATACAAAAAAAAAACAAGCCTGTCTTTGTTTTGTGAAGAAATTATATGGTTCTAATGTTCCATTGTTGAAAGAGCTTTGAAAAAAAAATCCTCCAAATTTAGTTCCATATTCTTCTAAACTTAAAACATATGTTAAAAAGTGAGTTTATGAATACTAAGTTTTTCAATCAAGGAAGAACAAAAAATCATTACTCTTTTCACTTTTGTACCCCTGGGCAGAACTCAAAATAATAACAGCAAAATGTTACCCTCAGTAGATTGAAACTGCTCTTATAATTCTAGTTTCTAGTCAATTCTAGTTACATATCATTCATTACATATATAACATTCATTAAGTTCTTTTTAAAAAACTTTTTGTCGAGAGGAACTCTATTATTTGGCTAAGAAAACTACATCAGGAGTGGTATTGGTATTGCATTTTGGAAGGTTAACCTGTCATCATTAGAAAAAAGTTGATAACTAAATTCTTCATCCAGGTACCTACCTGCTAAACTACCGAAGGTAAGCTTTCTGCGGCCCACTTTCTCAACAAGCCAGACTCCCACGAGAGTGAAAATGAAGTTTGTGAAGGCTGTAACTGAAGCCAGCCATATTGCGAGTCTGTCATCTTCAACACCGGACATCTGCAGAATGGTTGCACTGTAGTACCTGCAAGGCAAGAGTACAACAATCATTGCTGACGGTTATTCAAAGAAACACAGTTATTCACATAGAAAAATACCCAGCCGACCTAAAAAAGACCATGAATAGCGGCAGCAGTAACATCAAGTTAACTGGGGAATTCATGCAAACTGTTTAAAGGATCACAACAGAGAGACTGTGTTCACATAAACTTATTTTGAACTTTGTATAACCAAGAAAAGACACTCAAGCAAGTGGACAGAGAGCTGAAGTCTTCAAAAGTGAAACGTATGCCACAACTAGGGACAGTGGCAGCTGGTGGTTTCACTAAAACTATCAAGGACAAGCTCCAAGTCCATGGAATGAATTAGAAGTCATCACACACTGTGAATTTATATACTTAAAAGGATAAAGAGATTTGCTGCATATAACAAGGAAAGTGAGATATAATGGCAGAAATCTGTAAGGAATCTCTTCAAAGAAGACATAAGGACTAAGAATGTGCCAATTTATGTCATCCTACTTGGAAGATGAGACACTGACATGATGGACCTGAGAATGGTTTTGTGGTTCCTAGAAAAGTGTACTCTTGCTGAGGTAAGTATCTAGCACAATCAGCATGATTGGGTTCTGTAGACTTATTTTGTTCTAAATGAATTCACTGGAGACTGGCTCTTAAAAAACCATAATCCCATGCCAATTTGTTGATGCACAATGGGAGATATGTCTGGTACATTTAAGGAAGACAGGTTTCTCACAGGACATTTCTTTTCCCATGAAAATACCAGTAGCTATATCAGAAGATTACTTTAAAGCTGTCCTTCAAACAAAGAAAGCAAACACTCCTGGCGAATCACCTAGGAAATAGGATAGAATTCAAATCCTGAAGACACATTCTGAACCATGGCTTCGCCTAGCTTTTTGAGCCATTCTAAAACAAGTTAGCTTTACCCAAATCCGACAGTGGGCACCCAAGCAGTGTGTTCAATCAAACTGAATATTTCCATAGTTATGACCTACAGTTTCTGGGTATTTATCAATATTTTCATAATATTTCAAAAATAAAATCTTTTAAATATATTTACGTCTCACGGATTCATCGATGGCTTCTACTATTTTTTAAATTAATGATGATCCTCTTACATGAAATATTAACACCAACATTCATCTTAAAAAGAGTTTTACTTTTTTAAAGTAGTAAACCAAACTTATAAATTAGTATGCAGCATGAAGGATGTGTTTTACCGATCACACTAAAAATTATGCCAACCATTTTAAGATTTTGAATTCTAACAGCTGTTGTAAAAAGAGTAATTCCCAGTGGAACTACTCCCATCATCATGAAAAGTGTGAATGTTTTGCAGTCAAGAGTGGAAAGTAATAATAGAAACTATGAAAACAATTCATCCTGTCTGAATAGTGCCTTACAGTTTCCAATTTCTACCATACACATTATCCCATTTTCATAAAGACCCTTGCAGCAAGGTCAAACCTATATGCAACCACTGAGAAACTCACATAAACATCAAATCTACAAAAGCAGAAAATAGAAATGCTGAGAGAAAATTCAAATATTTAAAGCCAAAAGATTTTGATACTTGTCATGCTATTCTATTAAATTGCAGAGTCTTCTCAATGTTTTAAGAATAAAAACAGATACACAGCACAACATAATGCTTCCAAATGGAGCTATGAAAAAAATTAACAAAATAGAGTGGTTATTTCGATGTTTTCATTTTCAATACAATAAAATTATGAAATCACAAGTGTTAAATTAAGGGACAGAAAAGGGAGTGGTACCAAACAAAATAGTTGGTCAGAATTTTATTTAAAATAAAAAATGTTCCCTAGGTATATAAAAGAATTTCTTTCATGGTACTTAAGTTTTAGAGGCAAAGTCTAATCAAAGACTGGTCTGGGGAATCAGAAACCTGCATTCTAATAGCATCTCTATGAAATGTTGGCCAGGTCAGGTAACATAGTCATTTGTTCACTTAATACTTATTTATTGAGTTGCTACTGTATAAGCTATGTGAGATACTAAGATCCCATAAATTTGTTAGTAGACCCACTTGCTGCCCTTAAGAAGCTTACAATTTAGTATAAGAAAATGCAATGGAAAGAAATAATTTTAATATTGCAAGATATTGCAAGGTTAACAAGTCACAATGTGGCATAAAGGACAGACCAAACAATTTAATTGGATGTGGAAGGTTCCAGGATTTTCCAGAGAACATCACGTTTAATGTTTGAGTTGAGTCTTGAAGAATTCAGTTCCCAGCAGTTTGCCAGCAGGGGTGATTGATGATCTCGCAGGACACTGGTGGTAAAGGAAATGACATGTACGAAGGAGAAAAGTGCAAAATACCATGCTGGGCTCACAGACCGTAAGTACCTCAGGTTGACTGAGCATAAGGTACATAGAAGAGAGAAGTATGACATAAGGCAGTAGTAGAAGCTTCTGTTGTAGAGGGGCCTTGACTGCCAAGCTGCATGTTTGGGCTTTTTTCTCCAGGCAATGGAAAATCATGAAATGGGCTTTAAAGAGAAATAACACAATTAAATTTGTTCCATGAAAAGACCACTGTAATTATGGCCACATGGGTGGCCTGGAAGCAGACTGAAACAAAGGTATATTGTTTTAAAGTGTGTATTTCAGGTCATTACACTGGCAACAGGCACATGTAGATTTTCTGTATTAATGGGAAACAGTGAGAGCAAGGGCTGAAATTCAGGGATGGCCTTATTTCTCCCTGTCAGCAAGACTTGCAACTTCAACCCACACTAAATCTTTTCCTGGATGGAGGGCCTTGAGTTTCATCTTCATTTTCCTTTCTCGAACATTCGTAAATGTACAGTCATAAGCCACATAAAGACGCTGTGGTCAGTGACAGACTGCATACACGACAGCGGTCCCATGAGATTAGTACCATATAGCCTAGGTGTGCAGTAGGCTATACCATCTAGGTTTGTGTAAGTACACCCTAGATGTTCGTACAATGATGAAATCGACTAACGATGCATTTCTCAGAATGTATCCTTGTCATGAAGCAATGCATAACTGTATTTAGTTTTTATTGCATAATAAATTACCACAAGCTTAGTGGCTTAAATCAACACAAATTTATTATCTAACAATTCTGTAGGTCAGAAATCTGACATGGGTTTCACTGGATGTCAAAAATCAAAGGTGTCAGAAGGACATCCCTTTCTGGAAGCTCCGGGAAATAGAGTTCCTCGCCTTTGCCAGGTTTTAGAAGTGTCCTGCATCCCCCGGCTCACGTGGGGCCCCTTCTTCAGCCTTCAAAGCCAGCACAGGTGAGTCAAGTTCCTTTCATGTCACTTTACTCTAATGTGCCTTCTGCCTCTCTCTTCTACATTTAAGGACTTTTGTGATTACATTGGGCAGGCCCAGGTAACCAGCATAATCTCTTTATTTAAAGGTAAATTAATTAGCAGATTTAATGTAATCTGCAATCAATTTCCCTTCGCCATGTAATGTAACACTCATAGGTTGTAGGGATTACAAAATGTACACGTTGAGCGTGGGGATTATTCTGCTTAGCACCTAAAGGTGCTAATAAGCAGTAAAATAAGCAAAAGGCCAACAGTTAGAAGGAGATGAGGAATGAAGGCGAGGACATTTACTTAAAGGGTAATCACTTCCAGAAAAATTCAGGCAATAACTACATCCTGTTTCACAGTGAAGGAGATGACATATCTAGGTCAGAATAATTCACGAACACAGTTTTTAAAAGTCAGGTCATGGAGTGGTGAAAAGATACATTTAATTTACATTTTAAAATGGGTGAATTCCAATGTTGTTGTAAGTAATCCTACTGGCCAACCAGCTATGTAATGGGCTACTACTGCATCTATAATCTTCTAAGCCTTTATGCACTAGTTTGAATTTTCAGGGGACTGGGTATTCATTGAAAAGTTGCACAAAGCATAAGAGAGTCTTCTTCATAAAAGAAGAATATGAGCAACTGAAAAAGGCTTTCTTTCCTTTTAGACTCAAAGTAGGAATGCCTTCTCTTTTCAAAATCGTTTTATATCTATCAAACAAACTGTCCTCTTCTTCAAAGATTCCCTGGGCAATCTTTGGTCATGTCACACATACCAGCTCTTCCCCAGCGTGAAGCTGAAAGGCCTGAGGCAGTGTGTTCTCACAGAAGACCAGCTTCACAACTCCCTGCAGACATCTAAGAACAGAAACGGTCCAACTGCATGTGCAATGTTACCTCAGACATTACGTGAGACCCAGCTTTCAATCCTGAATTTTAAATCTGAATAAAACAAAACAGCTCTAGAAAACATGTAGGTTTTGGTAAAGGCAATCTATCCTAATGATGACTTTTAATTAGCAATGAAAGAATAAACATGAGCTTTTTTTTTTTTTTGGATGAGGAAGATTGTCACTGAGCTAACATCTGTGCCAATATTCCTCTATTTTATGTAAGACACTGCCAAGAGGGTGGCTAGATGAACGGTGCTAGGTCCATGCCTGGGATCTGAACCTGTGAACCCTGGGCTGCCAAAGCAGAGCAGACGAACTTAACCGCTATGCCACAGGGTCGTATATAAACATGAGTGTTTTATATGCCTATAAAAATACACACATTATGTACCTATTTGAACAAGATATTTCCTAGGAATTTCTGAAAAAGTTATTTTTTTCAGCTTCTTAAAGCCATAGCCTTTTTTCCATTATTGTCAGTCTAATAGAGTTAATTTAACAGCAAGAAGTAGGTACTCAATAATCGTCTGCTGAATTTATTGAATTTATCTACCATCAACTTTCAAAAAGGAATTAGGAATATTTATAATAAAAAATACATGGCAGAATTGCTAAACAAAAATTAAAGACTGATAAAAGAGAGTAACAGAGGGAGAAGATGAAGATAATTATATAAAAACTTTGGATGAATGATCACTACAAGCTAGCTCTGAAATTCCTGGCAGCCAAGGCAAAACAGTAAATGATACTTTTAACTGTCTGATAAAACAAAGCATATCAGTTCATA